AATAAAGCTCTACTCTAAAAGGTCTGAAAGTCCATATTGAAGTAACAGGGTTTAAATTGAACAATTGAAACCTCGTTAAAGCCTGTGAGCTGCTCTGTCCATGAGGCTGAGTTGCCAGCCCTTCCAGGGAACATTGGCCTTCTGACTCCAGTTCCACGGATCATGATACATAAAAAATAAATTAAAATAAAAAAGCAAATAAGTGATGGCCAAACCTCCACTCCGTTTCCCTTTGGCCAGAGGTTGCTAGCACATAGCTGAGTTGGAATCTCATTCTCACCACAGACTCAGCTGATTAAATAGCCTTTGAGATAGGTCACTGCCAAACCTGTGGAGAAGATCAGACTATCTCTGTCTCCCTGTCACCTGTCTCCAAATTTAGCAAACTCTCTCTGTGGAGTCCCCTCCCTTCCTGTGAGGTTGGCCTTCCAGGTGATTCCCATCCCATCTCCTAGAACTGGAAGGGACCTTGAAAGGTCATCGAGTCCAGCCCCCTGCCTTCACTAGCAGGACCAAGTACTGATTTTTGCCCCAGATCCCCAAGTGGCCCCCTCAAGGATCAAACTCACAACCCTGGGTTTAGCAGGCCAATGCTCAAACCACTGAGCTATCCCTCCCCCCTTCTCTGTCTCTTGGTTCTGTGATGATCTGCATAGACTCTTTCTGGGTGTTGTGTCTCCTGGTTCACAAGTGTCTCCTGTTCCTTCAGATCGCTTGCACCCAGGGCCGGCTCCAGGGTTTTTGCCTCCCCAAGCGGCGCAAAAAAAAAAAAGAGCCGCGATCACGATCTGCAGTGGCAATTCGGCAGGAGGTCCTTCGCTCCCAGGCGGAGTGAGGGACCATCTGCCGAATTGCTGCCGAATAGCTGGACCTGCTGCCCCTCTCCGGAGTGGCCGCCCCAAGCACCTGCTTGGCAAGCTGGTACCTGGAGCCGGCCCTGCTTGCACCATCACCTTTGAAAACATCCCCATATGCTTTTAAAGTTGTCCCCATTGTCCATGGGACTTCCTATTTTACTTCTTGCACTGCAGCTCTAAAATTCTGATGCTTTACTCTGATCAGATCCATGGTTCGTATGGCCAATCTCCCAAGAGGAGTCGGTGGTGCTTATCATCCATGACCAAAAACTTCACCTAGTAGCATCTCTTAAATTTTCAGGGTAGTTACCATGCAGTCGCATTTTCCCATGGGCTGCATTATGCTCTGATTGTTCATTTTTAGATTGTGCCTGCGCTTTGTAATGGGTGTGTTGAAGTACAAGGAATCACACTGCAAGAGCCCCACCCCAACCTGCTGAAATAGCACAGGGCATTTCCCTACCCTGTTTCCCCGAAAATAAGACAGTGTCTTATATTAATTTTTGCTCCCAAAGATGTGCTAGGTCTTATTTTCAGGGGATGTCTTATTTTTCAATGAAGAAGAATACGGTACACATCGGTGGATGCCTTATTATCGGGGAGGTCTTATTATCGGGGGGATGCCTTATATTACAACGAGAGGCAAAACTGTAAGTAGGCCTTATTTTCGGAGGATGTCTTATTTTCGGGGAAACAGGGTATTAACATTGTTGCATACATAAAGATTGGTATTGTCCCTTATTGCTTAGCTGTCCCAACATCCTGAACCTCATATGTCCTCACACTCAAGGAGAGAGTGAAAATGTCACCAAGGCTGTCTTGTGTGGCCTGCCGATTTTGTACGAGTATAACTGAATCTTTCTGGGATGTGACTCTGCTCTTGCACACACTGCTAAAATGGTTCAACTTGCCACATTCCTTGCAATGCTGTCCTAGTGCAGGGCATGATTCTTTGCCTGCTCAGCCTGTCTGTCATAATAAATGCCTCTCACTATGGGCATGGAACCCTGATCACCTTAGCTGATATCTCACTGCATGTACTTCTGGGTGGTGTTGTGCCTCCTTGGGCTTTTATAGGTTCTGTTGAGGCTTCTGCTGCAAGCCCCATGTCTAAGCACCTTTCTAATGTGAGATTGGCTGCTCCGGGAAGGCACTCCTGCAGGTGGTGTTCCTAGGTGTAGCTGACTATCCTGTCCTGAATCAGGTAGTCTGGTTAAGCTCCCAAAATTGCACGTAGCAGCCAGTGCAGCCATAACATCGGAGTCTATCCTCTCTGTGATACTCTGTACCTTGGGGGAACACCCTGCAGCCCCATTTTCATCCTTATATGATTGTGTGGTATCCGTGCAGCAGGTCCCCACCCCAGCTCACCTCTGCTCCGCCTCCTCCCCGAGCACACCGCCCCTGCTCTAATTCTCCTCCTCTCCCAGGCTTGCAGCGCCAAACAGCTAATTGGCGCTGGGAGGCAGGAGAAGTGGAGCGGCCCCAGAACGCTGTAAAACAAAAATTGGGGGGCACCGCTTTTTGGCACCCCCAAATCTTGGCACCCTAGGCAACCACCTACTTTGCCTTAATGGTAGCACCGGCCCTGAGCGGCTGGCCAAAAGTGCTCACTCACGTTGCTGGGAGCAGCTTACATGCTAGAAGCTGTGTGTGAACAGAGCAGGGTAAGGCTGACTCCCAGAGTCGAGGATTGGAGTGACCTAGCAGATCACTGGTCCAGATAACACCAGGGGAACGTCACACTCTCCCCTTCAGATTGGTCTCTAGTGTGTTGCTCCACAGTTTTGTTCTGCTTTGGGTAGCAATAGTTCCCCACAGCTCCTAGGCCTGTTGTGAGGCTTGAGGTAGTGGAGCTTCAGAGCAGTGCAGTTCTGTCTGTCTTGTTCCCCAATAAAGTAAAATAATAGTTTTACTTTCCTGCTGTTGTCATCCTCCTGCATGACCAGGTCTGTGTACAGCTTGAATTCTTCTTCCACTAGGTCTATCACTGGGCTGGTTTGTGTCTGCAAAATTCAGGGCTTCAGATTGAGTTCCACGGCTCACGCTGCCAACTACTGCACTGCAGAGAACTGACACCTCTGACACTGCCACTATGTTTCATTCACACAGTATGAAGACAAATGCAGTTTAAGTTGAACAAGTGAAACCCCGTGCACTGAAGTCCATGTGGCCGAGTTGCTTCCAGCCTAAACTCCCCATAGTCCCTGTTCCACTGGTGTCCCATCAATAACAGTCCCACAGAGAACACTGGCCCTCTGACTTTGGTTCCACTGATCATGATGCTGAGCATGTGGAGTTGTGTATGGAAAGAGTCTTTCGTTTCATTTCACTCTGATGTAGAGCAGCTGTGGAGGGTCCTTGACTGCAGTAGTGCTGTTCTGCTGTACCAAGGAATGACTGAGTTTGGGGAGGGGAGAATACGGGGGTTGCAAACACCATGAAGAATGCAGATCCAGCTCAACGGGCAGGATATGGACAGGGCAGTTGTGTGGCCAGAATACCCTTCACTGTGTAGGTCCTCTAGTGCTCTCTCCTGCAAGATTTGCATAAGCGCCTAGAAGATTGCTTAAGTCATTTGGTACAGCTGTGCAGTTGCTTTGAGTGTTTTCAGCCATGAGGAAAGGATTCCTTCTCCTCTACATCATGCATACCCTCCTATTTAGGATGGGAAATGGCTCTCTGGATTTGGCCCTGTAAGTGAGGTTTTGCTATATGTGAGCTCACTGCATAACTTGGATTTGATCCAAAGCCCACGGAAGTCAACTGGAATCAGGGCCGGCTCCAGGTTTTTTGAAGCACCAAGCAAAAAAAGCCGGAATGCCGCCCCTTGAAAAATGGTTTAAAAATCATGAGATTGTGGGTCATTTTTATTTGCCTTGTGATTCCTGAGCCTCAAGGTTATACTCAGTTCATATTTTCAAGCTTTTCTCTGCAACCTGAGGGCAAAACTTAATTATTTTTAAATGAAAGCAGCCAGAGCACATGCCTCCAGGAGGTGGTGCTTTAAATAAACATCAAATATTGTCACACAATAATATTGCGAGAGCTGGCAACACTCTGAGAAACATTTTTCCTGTTGTGCTATCTTGTGATCCTATGCTTTTTTTAAATTAAAAATAAAAATACACCATTCTGAAATTTAAGAGTTCAGGGAGTTCACTGTAGAAGACATGTATCAGATTGTATAGAATAATTGTGGATTTGTTGTATAATGGGTGCATTATATATTAAACTTGCTCAGCTGGAGAGATGATAACCTAGCCCTTAAACAACACAGCCTGAATCATTGGAGCTAAGGTTATGGTACAGCTAAAGTGGTTTAGGTTTGTTTTTTGTTAAAACATTGAAAAAATACAGAAAGCATGTGACTAACAATCGGGCACTCTAGACTCCAATCCCTGCTCAGACACTAGCTTGCTGTGTAGCTTGATAAATCAGTTCACCTCTCTGTATCTTAGTTCCTTCATCTGTAAAACTGGGATATTAATATTTATTTACCAGGAGTATTGTGAGGTTTAATTAATGAACCCTTGAAAAGTGCATTGAGCTCCTTGGGTGGGAGGTGATATTAGTAGCACAGTAAATCTTGTGATGAAGACATCCATTTTCAAAAGCTTGCCCTCCCTTTTATACTAGTGAATTTTAGCAAAATACACAGATACATTATGGGTGCAATTAGCTGGAATGCATATAGCCTATTATAGACATCTGACTGGGAGTCAGAAGACTGGCATTTTATTTTCAGCTTTGCCACTGATTCATTTTCTGATCTTGGGCAAGTCACTTACATCAGATGTGCCTCAGTTTCCTCATAGGGAAAGTGATAATAATAATCCTCGCCCACCTTCATAAAACTCTTTGGCCCTGATTCAGGCCATCTCTAAAGCCATGTGCTTATGTTTGTTCTTGTTCAACAAAGCACCTGAGTACATGGTTAAGGTTAAGTACATGCTTGAGTCCTATTAATTTCTTAATAGTACTTCAGTAATATAAGTATTATTTTTATATGTTATTAGGAATTATTGTCTATTTAATCAAAGGTTAGAAATAAGGGAAGAGGAGGACACTGACAATTCCTTAAACTAAGAAGCAGAAATGGATCAACATCCCTTTGGTCCATCCTCTTTGTTTTGAAATTATTCCCTTTTCATTACCCCTTTGCACCTCTGCAGATACTTACTGATGTGCAATATTGTACTTCTGTGGTTTCCTGTGGCATGTTCTCTTGTGCTTTCCTGTGGTCATCCTATATGTTCATTTGAACCATAAAATAAACATATTTTGGACAGGAGGACTCTCAAAAGTGAAAACCACTAACACAGACAAACAGTCAAGAGAGAATGTTTCAACCGACCAATTACATTTCACTTCCTTACAATTCCCCCTGCAGTTTTGTTCTACATTGTTTTGTAGCAATGCTGATTATGTACTCTACATATCATATGACTTTTAAAAACAAACTTTGTAGTTGTGGATAATCTAAGCATTATCCCCAGATGTACAGACACTCTTTTCTCAATCTATGTATTATATAATTTTTTTTAACATTAGCTTTAATAAAAAATGTTAATCTGTTTCTATCTACTATTAAACAGCTGCAGAATTCCATTCCAGAAGTATCTGCATTTCAGTGATAAATAAAATCATCTCTATATGTGTTATGCACCTGCAGTCTTTTTTTACCTTTCTACTTAATCCTGACTCAGAGATTTGACTGAGTAAGAAGTGACCAGGATTTGGACCAAACTTGGTCAGTAAAGAATTATGAGTTGCTTTGGAATGAAAAGTGGTATTTATATCTAATCTATCTATCTATCTATAGTCATATGGCGCCAACTGGAGCTGTAAGTGTTAAGTGTGGCTGTAACAAAATAAAGGTATTGGGTGGGGAGGGGGGAGAAGTGTGCTATGATGGGTTGGATAAGGAGTTTGAAGGTGTCTCTTCTCGGTGGAACACTGTAGTTGTACTACAACCGCTGTCTTAAATCTGCGAGGTGTGAAAGCAACCTGAGGTGGAAATGAGATTAACTTCATGGTGGGAGGAAATGAAGAAGTGAAGTGGGCAGATTCTGACAGTACTGCAGGTGGTTATAATGAAATTTTTTATATCAAAAGACACACACCATTTTCTTTCCAAAAATCTGCTTCTGTTACTGTTTTACAGTAACTAAGAAAAGTTTTGGTTGCCTTTTTTTGTTTTGTTTTGTTTTTTGTTTGTTAGTGCCCTATTTTATTTTTAGTCCATTACCAATCTCCATCTGGGCTGCTGGCAGGCAGTTCATATTTTCAGTATGGTTCAAGCCATACAACCAGCTTCCCATATTTCACACTTGATTTACTGGTTACAGCTTTTCTATTGGATGGTTTTCTTTCTGGTTTCCTTTCAGGGAGGTTCATGTTTTCTCTTTCAATTATTTTCTGTACAAGCCTTATCCTATACTACTTACTTAGATAAGTTATCCTTCTGGTAGGTAAATAGTCTCAATGGGTCTGAATCTCATTTACATTAAAGGATTGCCTTCACTGCTAAAAAAAACCCTGTTTTTAACTTTGGGGAAACTAATGCACATGAGCTATCACAAGTTAAAAACTCTGTGAATACCAACTCCACTAGTCCAGTTTTTCATGCGGGATTAGTTACCCGAGTAAGGGTTTGCCTAAATAGATCTTAAATCTGGGAATGACAGCAACTTTGCTACTTGATGCTGGGCCCTCTATACATATTTAATTAATTACAAGCACACACTGAAACCAGTGCTAACAAAGTAGTGACATTCCCAGTTAAGGTTAACACACTTTTTAACTCAGATCAGTATGTCTTGTGTTTCACCATGGTTGAGTTAGTTAGTAACACCTACAGCTGGTTGAAATTTTCAGAATTTTGATTTTTTTCAGTGAAATTTTTTGTCAACATTTTGATAAACAAAAGGGATGAATTTTTAGCAAAAATGTTCATGAAAAATTAATCCTATCTTTCCGCAGCTATAAAGCTGGTTATAATAAATACAAATAACAAAAAAGTCATTAACATTTAGCAGTTTTGGAGAATATCACTACAGATGGCAGAGATATAGGATTAAAAAAAAAGATGATTCTGTAATACAGATAACAAATATGATCCCAGATTTGATCCCAGATGCACCCATGGATCTCAGTTAACTGGAGCTCTGTGTGCATATGGTAGGTGATGACTCAGTTGGACCCCATATTTTTAGTGAAATACAAATAAAATATGGTAAGCAAAAAATTTACATCGTTTATGCCCAAGGAAGAATTCCTAGTGAGATCTGTGAATGTGTAGAGACTTTCCCATGTTTATTTCTAGGAATATCAAACTGGTGTCATTAAGTGACACACACATTTATGACTTTTTATATTACTTTTCTGAGCATATCTCACCAATTGCTTCTGATCAGCTCAGTTGATTAGAATCATTTGGAAAACAAGAATAAAGGTAAAAATAAATTCTATACTAAGGCAAAATTTTAGGGGATTCTTTGAAATAAATTATACTGATATATTTCTCCCAAGAACTGGCATTTGTAAATATTTTCTAAAATGAACTGGAGGGAGGGGAAGAACCCTGGCTGGGTGTAGTTAATGATCAAATATTTGTTTTAAACACATGCAAACACTTGGTTGGAAAACACTTTAAATTTATAACTTTTGGCAAATTCGTTGACATTTGGCAACACTGCCTCCATTTAGAATATCTGTGACAATTAGCGTCTTCCATATGGTAAATGAGAACAAAAAACTTGCAAGACTCTATAAAATCTCCATTTTAGTTCATTCACCTGCAGCCATATAACTATCATCAGGGTAAGGCAAAAGGTTATTAATAAAATTTGTTATATCGCTACAGTGAAACTTTGTTTTCTTAAAAATATATGCATAGACTTTCTTCCTATCACTTGTAATCAGTATATATAAAAGCTTTGCTAGGAATATATTAATTTGTTTTTAACACTTGATAGTTTAATAAATAATAATAATAAACATATACAGTGCTTTAGTTATTGGGCTCAATACAAGGGTAACTAGGGAAAATTTAAGGCCTGTGCTATACAGAAGGTCAGACTAGATGATCTAATGGAAGTCAATGGAAGACCCTAAGGCCAAAAGCAGCCCTACTCAGAACAGGACTTAAATACATGCTTCACTTTAAGCATATGCTCATGTTCCATTGAAGTCATTGTGCTCTGAATCATCGCCTTAATGAATTAAGAATTATCATTCGACATCTTTCATCACTATCAAATGTATCTACCTTTTAAACTATACCTCATATTTCCTGGTGCCGCGTATATTTCCATCAATAATAATGAGTCAAATTAGTAGAAAATTCACAGTTGGAATAACAACATGTGAGGTGTCTCGTGCATTGTAAAAGTCTTTGTGCAGGTAAAGTTGCTAATTAGTCCCCTTGCCTGCTGTTTGAAATCAGCTGTTAGAACAGTTTCAGTTACAGTATTGTGGTGAATCATTTCCTTCTGATGCTTGTGGTGATGGATCATGTGGCTATATTTTCACACCAGCTTTAAGACAAAAGATTCCTCTCTCCAGCAACAAAGCTTGGGACATATTCACTAGGAGATACAAAATATTATCTATCTGTATTTACATAACTAGTATGAGCAGTGGTTTGTAATGTTTTACTTTCCTTTATTCTTCTTAGTTGTCAATGTACAAGAACATACTCATGTTTATTCTCTTTTTGTATTTGTACATTAATCTAAAACAATCTTCGTGGGAAGAAGACCTTATAGCAAATGTTATGATAAAACTAAGAATACACATCTGAGATTTTTTAAATGTCCATCCTTCTTTATGGGGATGGAGGTATCTCACTAATAGAATGTTCAGAAAAAGAGACCATTGTTCCAGAGACAACTACCAAACTGTAGAGCACACATAATTTAGGACTTAAAAAGAGAAGAAATACATGCCTGTGTTTCCATGACTGCGTATACGCAGTTGTACACACAAAAACATATGTGTAGAATACGTACCGGCAATTGCTGTGATTGTTCAGGACAGCTCTTATGCGTTAAGTGTGGTTAACTGTAAGCTCATGCACTGGATTGGGACTCAGCAAACAAGAGTTCTATTCCTGGCTCTGCCACTAGTCTGCTAGATGACCTTAAGCAAGTTACTTTCTCTCTCTCTGCCTCAGTTTCCCCATCTGGAAAATGGAGATAATGATACTGACCTCTTTTGTAAAGCATTTTGAGATCTGCTGATCAAAAGTATTATTATATTAAAACTGAACATGTGCTTAGGAGCTGCCTTAACAGGGATGGGCTTAAACATGTGCTTAATTGCTTTCCTGAACAAAGAAAGGACCCTGATTCTACTCAGTACTGACTGCTTCCTGCAAGGTGCTCAGTGCCCTTGGCTCCCAATGATTTTAATGGGAGTTAAGTATCTGGCTCTTTAGGAGGTCTGGAAGTAATCAATATTTAGATAAAAATGCACATTAGAACACAGGAAACATCAAGAGTAGAACAATATTCCACGCTTATTTCAGTCTCTTAGATCCCCATCATTACAGCGACAGTGTCCAGTGTTACTTTCAAGACTGATTTTGTTCGGTGAAACTTAGGTGAATCAGCACCCCAGATTTTATTGTTTTCATCATGGCATTGAGAGTTGGTATTTTAAATTTCACAAAGTAATTTTTAATTTCCACCAATTATTTTCTCCTTCCTCCTCCAAGGTCTTTGCCCTGAGGTCTGGGAACATCATTACCTCGGGAAGATCATTTCCTTTCCGCTGCTGCTCATAATTACAAAACAGTTAACTGAATACAGAAGAAGGGACCCAAACCTGCTACCCTAATTCATGGGAGTAACTGTCCAGTGAGTTATCCCAATGCACCAAATCCTGAAGTCCAGTTTGCCTCAGTGAAAGTTAAGATCTCAATCATGCAAAGACATCCACATGTGCATAAGCATGGGAAGTCAAAAGGGACTACTTAACTTATAGTTAAGCATGTACATAGGTCTTTGCAGAATTGGGATATAAGGACATCAAGAGTCAATCTCACTGCCTTCAATAATATTACTCACACGAGCATGGGTATGAGGACCAGATTATCCAGTTGTACAAAGAAAGATTCATAGATGTGGGGGGAAAATATTATTCAAAATATAATGAAAGATACAACAGTGACTAATTATCACTGTTCCTGAAAGAAGCAACCTAGATGTCAAGTAAAAAGGAAGGTCTCTTCTTTCTTCTCTCTTTAATCTACAACAATGAATTTCCTTCCTGATGGCATGAGAAGGGTGTGTGTAAGGGTTGAGAGATGGGTGTATTTGCATATTCTGTGAGAGATGCAGGATGTCACACAGGGGCAGAGAGAGAAAGAATAGTGATTATGTGGAGACACTGACACTTGAATGTTATTGCCCCTGCTACAGTATTTTTGATAGCAAGATCAATGTAACATTGGCTGTCCTTGCAAACAGAAACAGTCAATAAATAAATTTGCCTGTATTTTTCTAGCTTACTATTGTACAATGCAGAAATAATACAGGTTACTAAACAACTGTCACCTTTGATTTGCAAATCTAATTAAATGTGCATATGTTTGTTTCTCTTAGATCATTAAGCAAATTAAAAGATAAAGGAAAGGAAAACGCTACAAGTGAACTAGATCTGAATTTTTTCAATTTGTGGAGACATTTGACCTTGGGTGGTGGTGATTGGTGGGTTTTTTTGTTTTTTTGTAAATACTTCTGTGGTGTTTACAGTTTGTCTATTGGGAAAATGTGTTATTTAAAATAAACCTGCACTGAGGCACTTGAATTTCTAGGATTTCAATCAAACTAAAACGATCTTCACGTAGTCTTGGGTCAACAGATATGTTGTTTCAGTGACTTTCTGGTTTTGAAGCACCATTATGCTTCTGATTTTTATTACTTTGTATCGTTTTAAATGAGCAATGGCCAAATCCATCCACTTTACTGGGACGAATTTCCTAAGCCATGTGAACAGGATTTGGCTCTGTTGTTGAACTATTATAAATATATCCATTCAGGTCAATCCACTGTCCTTTTAGCAGCTCAGATTTATTTAGAAATAATAGTGTACAGATTTAGTCTTTAAGGTGCAACCGGACTCCTTGTTGTTTTTGTGGATACAGAATAACACGGCTACCCCCTGATATTGTACAGATTGTTTGTCTTTTAAATTGCTGGTCTCTGCAAATTCAATGAAGAATCTAAGGACTTTTTTTTTTGTTAAATGTGGAGAGGTGACATTTTTTAATGGATTTTCCTTCCAAAAAGAGAGAAATTCCCCAGTGGGTTAAATCTTCCTCAATTTCCATCTAAAATATTATCATCTTTTGCTGAGTCGGAGA